GCTTCTCCCCGTCCACTTATTACGTACTTTATATTTATCTATTTATTTATTTAATCATTTATTTATTTATATAGATTCTTTTCCTTTGTTTTTTTTTCTTTTTGTTATCTGTTCCTATCTGTTCTCTTTACTCCTTTCCCTTCCGTTGTTTCTTACAGTTGTACGATTAAAAATATCGTTATTGCCAAGTATGATCGATAACACGGTGCGTAACCCCGAGCCACTGACCGGAGAGACAGCTGTCTTGGTGTCCGCTTACGAATCTAAAGTTACGTGCATCATGAAACTAGATGTTCGCGCAAACACTGGCCTCCTTCGTCACTTCGAGTTTCTTTTTCGAATTTTCTCGGATCATTTCGCAATTCTTTCTCAGCGACGTTTCCCCCGTATACTATGGAAACAGCCCGGACGGTCGCTTTCCTTTTCAAACTTTTACTATATATATATTCGTAGATGAACTAACCTCTTGCCTGACTAATATTCAATAAAGAGCTTAATTTAAAACCAGAAGGAAAGAATTGTTGCTAGTTAATGAACTGTAGTTATTTAACTACTTAAACGTGCTGTTTTATTTTGAGAATGTGCACTAGCGTGCTTAATTATTTCTAGGCGATGACGAGTATACTCGACGAAAACACGGTAAATGCACTTGCTGTAAAATTGAATTGAAATACAACGAAATGATAAATCTTTTGGTGTTCCTTTGAAAAATTTTTAATTTTATTGGTTTTACTTTTTCTTTCTTTCTTTTTTGTTTTCTTGCTTTGAAATATTCTGAAATTTGCTAAAATCACAAATATGTATAATTTTTTTTTTTACCTAGATTTTACAATAAATAGCAAAAGCGAATTTCTTTTACTCGACATAAACGCTTAAGGGGTTAAATCTGACGTCTGACTTTACAGAGGGTTAATTTGGAAAAACAAGAGTTAATTCAATGCTCACGTATATTCTCAAATCTGCTGATATGAAATACACGTACGAATGAAATACATGTACGTGAATGCATATGTGCTGTGGCTTGAAAGTTCGAAGCACTCTCTTTCTCCGGATGAAATAAATCTCATTTTCTTGGCAAATATGAAATGGGTTCTATCTCTAAATATAATCATAGTTCCGATTTGGCTTCGGATTATTAATATCATACGTCAGATGTTTGTATTTACTTATTGAGCAAATCATTATTTCTTGCTGTAGATTTCGCCAGTTGCACGTGATAATAAACAAATTACACGAAAGTAATGTGGCGTGTTTCTTGGTATCTTTTGAAGCTGAGATTCCTGGGAAAATTAATCAGGCAAACGGTTGGAATTCGAGAAGCTACGAGAAACGAAATCGTTCGAAAGGAGAAGCGACTGCCCTTTCTCGGGCCGGATTTTCAGAAAAATATACAAATAACATATGGGAATTATCGACAAACCTCGGGAATACTGTTCTCGTTTCCACTCTGGCACGATTGATCGTCGCTTGATTACATGAACTGTCTTGTTTCACGGCCGGGAGAGGGAACTTTGAAATTGATTTCAAGCCTCGATGCGTTGAGAAACTATAAGAGCCTCGTTTCTTCTTCGAGGGACACGTATTCAGAAACTGGTGATTCTTCGTAAAAGTTTCGACAAACTGGCGAGAAAATTTCGCACTGACGCACGGTTGCGAAATAAACTTATAAAGTGCCGAGGAATCGAGTCGAATTATTCAGTACTTGGCGAGCTTGCAAAACTTGTCCAACAGTAAGAATTATTGAACGTGGAAACCAAGTAACCGCTTGGAAGAAAATATAATATCGCGTAGAATTAAAGTGGGTAGTCGGCTGTCTGTGAATTCTAACTCTCAACTGGTATAGTTGGGCCACTTGTAGCTATAATAATTCAGTGTTAAACTATTGTAATAATTTGTTTATTGCAATCTTCGATCTATTGCAGTGCAATGACTGACCAACTCTTTGCACAACTCGAAAATCTTACGTCAATTTTTCAATTCGTAATTTAATTGAATTTCATTATTAATTTCTATCGCAGTAAATGCAAAATACGAAAACAAAGTTAACTATCCTAAATTTTAGTACATAGTTTTAGAAACATAGTTTTACATAGTATTAAAATTTAGTAATAAAAAATTACTAGAACTACCAATGATTAAGATATAAAATTCTGTAGAAAAGAAGTGAAAGTGCAAGGAATAAGAAAAATTCAAT